GATCACCAGCGAATGGCCAAAGATTTGATTGAGGCCGATGAAGCGGGCTTCTCATTGAAAGTATAGCCTGTGTAGTGCATTTTTTGAAATCTCATCTGCTCAGTGTTTTTTGATATTTTTCAACATCGTTTTCCCGCATTAGTAGCATTGTGCGAGCCATTGTTGTATAAATGCAGCATTTGTTAGGGAACAGATTGATCGTAGCAATTCTTATATTCTTACTTTGCCCGTAATTCATGGTTTGCATCATAGTTCATAATTCATAGTTTCATAGTCATAGTAATTCATAGTTCAACGCGATGCAGCTGACAACTTTTTCGCTATAGATGCCGGCTTCAGTGATCCCAGAAATGGAAGGTTGCTGGTGCGCAAAAAAAAAACCCCGCTAGAAGAGTTGAATTTGAAATCTTTTAGTCGCACAGCTGAATATGAAATCTTTTAGTCGCATATGACACAGTTTAATTTGAGTTTGAAATTTTTTAGTCGCACAGTTGAATTTGAAATCTTTTAGTCGCACATGAGTAAATTTGACCAATGTTTCATCGCCTGATGATCACTTTTTTGTCATTGTTTTTTTTTCTGCTGCTTTTTTTTTAACAGGTAAAATAGAAGAATTGAAGAATTTCACCCGAATATCATGTGAAATGAAGACATTTTTTGATACAGTCTGTGTTTCATCCCTTAGCTGTATACGCAGACCGAACTACTCATGCGCGTGGGAGCGGGAATCATTAGTACAGCCTCCCGCCCGCCATGTTTTGAATAGTCATGTAACTAATTTGCAAGACGGATAAGCAAAAGAAAGAGATATAAATGAAGGAGCAGATAGATTTTCCTCCAAGTAGTGGAGGTGGAAAATTGTGACAGTCGTATATAATATAGGCAGAAATGAGGGTAATAACTTTGACTTCTGTTAATTCACTAAGAATTTTGGAAATGCTACCAAAGTAAGAGAATCTTGTGCTACTTATCAGGATCTTGGATCAGAGCTTAATTATAGTATTTTCTTGTCGGTACATGCAGTTAGCAGTTTTTCTAGTTATTTTGACCAGTAATCGGTTTGTATGGATGATGGTCACCCCTCTCTCACGCCCCTCCCCCCCACCCCCTTTCGCCTCCGCCTGGTCATTTCAATGCTTTTTCCGTTTCCTGAGGGAATTATTAGCTTTGGGATTCCTCGGAAGAAACAGTTGGCAAAGCTCCTGGAATCTCGAAATTTTTCTTTGGTATTTGTTAAACTGTGTTGTTATGTTTATTAGTAATGTATAAAGAACTATGAATATTGCTGTAATCATGATTTTTGCTAACGATTGCCATTACTATGTAGTCAGTGGAATGTTCAGCTTCCGACAGGATGGCACATCAAAGATACGTGTTACCATGATATCCCCATTGGCTTAAATGTTTTTT